CACCAATATCTATATTTAAATTCAAAACTGTAATGTATGAAGGTTTTACCTCTTATTTTTAACAGTTACAACAGAACTGTTGATTTGAAAGGACACTTGCCCCACAGATTAATCCACTCTGTAAATTCAGACTGATGTATCTGGAAAGAGTTGTGTGTAGCTAACATACTCTAGAAATGGTTTACCATATAAGGAGTAAAACTGGACTACAGGTTGCACTTGCATTCCCAAAGCATGTGGCAATTGAAAGTGGGCTGCTATAGCTGATAGAAAAAGCTCACAGTCTCATTTAAGGTTTCCTCAGATGCAAAATGATCTCTTGGGGTGGGGTTACCAGGGAAGTGCTGACTGTTGCTGTTTGATGAGCCACACTTCACATAAGCAAAGGAAAAACAGATAGATCCTACATCAAGTTTATGGATCAAAAGACCTCATGGTTTGGGAAAGGTGGGATATTGAATTTCCACTTAAAACTCTCAGGAAGTTTTTGTATATTTGGGCATTTCAAAAGATGTTCAAGTTTTGGGAATGGCGGGGTGGGGAAGGTGTATGTGGAAAGGTGAGAGTGGGAGAAGGAGGGAAAACTATTAAAGCACTAAGTATATGAATAAATTATTAGCTCTACTCCTCACTAATAACTCAAATTTTTAATTTATTTTCTTTTTACAGTGAGGTTAATGATACTCTAAAAGTATAAGTATATCATATTTTCTGGCGTTCCCTGAATATTCTGATTTTAAAAAAAATATAATCCTATATACGTAATCTTTGCAAATATACGTGAGATCTAGACATTGACTTCTTCCCTCTCTTTTGTCAGCATTATTAGTACATACTTATTTATAAAATTTCAGCAAAACGTTTTGCTGCAATTGGGGTAGAAAGCAAACAGGAACCAGTAGAGGCTTTTGCAGGTAATTATTAATTGCATAACTAATTAGTATTACACCCCAAAGGTAATTACCAAAAGAAACTAATAAACACAAATACAAAACACTTCCTAAAAAGGTTTTGAATTCAAAAGATTTTGGAAGTCTTAAAACTTTAGGTTATGCGTGGACAATAGTTCTGACATTCATGGCCAAAATGACAGTTGCAGTAAATTTCTACGCACAGAATTCACAATTTTTCCTCAGGCGAAAACAAAACAAAGCAAAACACAGGTCCTAGAGCCAATCAACTGATAAACTAGATTGTTGGTAGCCTGATGGAGATGAGGTTGCTGCAGCTCCCTATTTTTAATCCATGGTTTAGAAGCAAAATGAGGTCAAGTGGTGTTCCCATAAGGCACACACACACAGATGCAACATATACACACAACAGATGACACACGGATAGAACCAATCAGCACTCAAACACACATGGCACAAACAGGCTCATTCTTCTCTGACTGACCATGAGGAAGGATGATTTATAACTGGAAAGATGCTCACATACTCAACATGAACCACTCCTGTAACTTGCCTTAGACATTCAGTCTATCCAGTAGCTAGCACCTGGATCTCCAGACTTCACACTTGATGCCATCTGGACAGACAACTCTGAGGCCTTCAGCTCCCCTCCAGCTGCAGGTACAGACCCACTTTTAATCCTGGATATGCTCACACATCCCCACTCAACCAGCAAATTATTGATCCCCCAGGGCTTTTTACACTGTACATATCCAGTAACAGTACCTGGACATCTCAGGCCCCCAGTGCCCAGTGATATCCCCACATACACATTATGAGCTCCTAGTAGCCGGCTTTGGCATTGAGGCTGTCCAGGAGCTGGCTCCTGGCTCCCTGGTCTCCCCTTAACTCACGCACAGAGACACAGAGGTGCAAACAGGGCTCTCATTCAACCCTCAGTGTCTCCAGACTGGTCTAGAACTCTTGGCTCCTCCAAAAGCTGGCTCATCAGCCTTCTGGTCTGGACTTTTGGCCATGTGGATATCCATAATCCAAGCCACTCATCTGACGTGCTGGCAACTCTAGCCTGAGACCTTTTAGTGATCCTACACTGGCATAGGCACCCATGCAATACACACGTAGTCTGCATTTTCCAGTTTGCAGACTCACAGACTCATGGTCCAGCTCCAGTTGCTGGCACTTAAACCTCCATACAAACATACATACAAGAGAGACCCTTTACTCAGGAAAATAGTTAGAAATGGGGCATAATAAGATACAGGACACAGGACAAACTGCTGATCAAGGACAAGGCATAAACAAACAATGGTGCTGAGCAAAGCCTGTTTGCACATGGATGGCCCCTTTAATCTTCTTATCCCCCTGTTTTCATTTGCTTTTCCCTCCCTAATCTATCTCAATCCCTCCCTTTCCCTACCTGTGGTCCTTTCTCTAAACATCCAAGAATAAGCCTACAGAATCCCACGAAGCTCTTCCCTGCATCCCGTAATGTGTCCCATACTCCTGTAGGAAGTATTGCTCTCAGTCTGAAGAGCAATCAGGGCAGCATTTCCTTTTGACTCCTCATGGTACGTTTCAGTCCTGCCACATGGGGCTGAGGCTGTCCTGGGACAGCCCTGGGAGGAGGCTGGGCTTGAGTCTAATTAGGACAGGGGATTTACTCTCCCTGCACTGCATCTCTGTCCGACTTTGGGTGTGTGTTGTCTTTTATCAGATAAGTTCTGCCAAGAACACAATTTTTTCTGCCTCAGAGTTTGTAATTTAGTGCTGGCCCTTCGTTATATTTTAAATGTATGAGTTCTATAACCTTTTTTAAACTATTCTACTCTAGGCTTCTAAAAATCTATAACTTTAAAGTGTTAATATAGTAAATTGTCTAAAATAAAATATAGGCAACACTAAGGTAGAAGACTTCTTACAAGAGTAATCACACTAGAGCTACAAACACCTTGATATCTGCTTCTGATAGCTCCAAGAAGCTCTACTGATTTTTAATAACCTTAGGCTTCAAAAACATTATATTCAGTCATGAATATTGGGACCTTTCTCTTTCCCTTTTTGCTTCTTTTGGTCCTTCTTTGTTGTAAAGAAAGTTTGCTCATGCCAGTGTAAATTCATAGGACATACAGATAAAATATAGTTAAGATGGAATTGAACAATTGAGGTATTAGGAAAAGTAGGTCACAGAAATGCTTGTAATTCAGAATGTTTTTAGAAAATGAGTCTTAAACCCCAGAAATTCAAAGTGAAATTTCATAGTGAAAAACTCCATTTCTCAAGACTTTCCCATCATTTCCAATATTCTATTTCTTCCTATTATATCATGCCAAATTAAATTAACTGCTATTCTACAATTATAAAAAGCCAGCTTATAAAACCAAAAAGGCTTTCTCCTGTTTTTAATTGTTTCATTGTCTACTTATCTAATTTTGTCATTTTCATATACTAAGGTATCAAAATAATTTTCATATTCTAGACAAATATTAAAAAAAGTTTAAGTTCATAAAGAGTTATTAAATCCCTGTCAAAGCTTAAGGCTTGAGAGTGAAATACACTGCCATCTGCTTTCCTTATGACATACAGTGATGTAACAATACTATTTCTTTTGTGATACACACTTGATATTGACAATATCCCTTACGATTCTTCACTGACTGAATAGCAGCTTCAGACTACAAGTTCCACACCATTATAAAAATAAAAAATGCATTGCCTCAGAGTGCCGAAACAGAAGTAGAAATATAAAACAGGGTTTCATTTCTAAGTAATGCAAGGGCAGAGAGAGCTGGAGGACTGTACCACTGATTTTCCGTAACTCTTACTTGTTAACACGCACCCAAGAGTGGTTTTCACCTGTGCACCCAGTACTTTGCCAGACTGTTCTCACACATGGCTGGGTAAGGTGTGTGCCAGCAGATGTTCGCAAAACACAAAGTATATATGAACAGGCCTGCCTCAGGTTTCCATGCCAGCACCTTATATAGTCCTCTAATATGATCCTGTCAGGCTTTGCACTCTTAGGCCTTGCTAACATGAGCTCACAAATTTATAGAACATTCTAGATTGAGAAAGATTTTCCTCAGGGTGTCATGGAGTTCAGTCTCCTAATCAAAGCAGGACTAACCTCAAAGCCAACTGAGATGGCACAGATACACTTCTCTTGTAATGAAGCAAGGGCACACCTCCAAGTACCACAGAGATTAATGTACACAAGCAAAGAAACTTAAACGCAAGAACATTAAAATGAAAACTATTTACACTTCAGTACATTTTAAAAATCACTATTATTCCCTACAGTTAACTAGGGGAAAATACACTGTTAAGTGTATTTCATTTGTCCCCCTCAGTATTAAAGCTTTGATATAGATCAGGAAAAACAGTTACAAAATTCAGATTAAAAAATGTACTTTTTAAAATTATATTTCTTCATTATTGAGGACCAGAAATACACACTAAAAATGTATAATCATATTAATATTTAAGATCATCCTCTTTAGAAAATCCCAAACTACTAACAATTCCCAACCTCAAAAGATATTTGTTCTATCTTTGAGTAAACAAATTTGGATACATTATACATAACCTACAGTTTGTGGAAAAAAGGAAATGGTGATGCATAAAGTTTAAGTATAAATATTTCAGTTCATTCTACTTCTTAAATGATAGAATAAATTGGCAGTACTACAGTTTTACAAATACAGAATGGTAATAATTTATTGTGGTATATGTGTTGAAGCACACATTCAATTATCCTCCTAAGCATTAAAAATCATAATGTATTAGGTATACTTGAGTCACTTCCTAAACAGAGGCTTGAAAAGATGAAAGAGTGCTATTCCGGTTTGGCTGAATGGCTAATATCATGACATGATGCAGAATTAATTCTGTACACAGAAGGCTCACTTTAGTACTCAGCAAAACATAGCAACTCCTAAATTTCATAGTGCTAAAGCAAAAAGCAGGATATAAAAGGGATTAAAAAACAAAAATCCCACACACTTGCATTTTGTACATTGGATTTCACCCACTAGACTTAAATAACTGCAACATATTAGCCAAATCCCACTGACAGAAATATAAAATACCCACCTGTTTTGGGATCAACTGAGAAATATGGCTGTCCCTGAAGAATACTGTACACTACTCTGGCGCTGTTTCCATATGTGGGATCATCTGCATCTGTGGCTGTCACCTGTAGAACAGATGTACCTGTATGTACAGGAAAATAAAAATTCATTGGTAATAAATATAATTTTATGACAAATATTTTCAAATGCATTTTTGAAACCTCTACAGTCTTCACATTCATAACATTTTCTCTATTTGTTATTATACTACCATATTAGGAAAACTAATTATACTAATTTGTTAAAATCGTTTTTGTCTTTCTTTCTATATATGTATATGTAAATTAACTACATACATAGAAACATAAATAGTAATGACATAGCATGCATATTTATGCATGTTCACACACATAGGCCTCAAACTTGGATATTGATTTCTGAAAAGCTCAAATTTATGGACTTCAGGATTATCTTCATCCACAATACAAATTAATGTTGAAGTATTTAAAATAACTTCCGTAAATGCCCCCGTATCAATAAAAGATGCCAAGGGAATAAAAAATCTAGCTATTGGAAGGCATCGAAGATCTCAAAAACTACTAGAACCTTGCTAGGGATCCAAATTAGAAAGATAATGAGTAAAAGACAATTATTTTTATGCTAGTAATAAAAAACACTAGAAAAATAAAATCACAGTTTCTAGAATGTCACAAGGTGGGATAAGTTATGACAACATTTTTTAGAACATAAAATGTGTAAGTATTGCACAGATAGAATAGAGATAAGTGATTTTACTTTTTCCTATATTTTTCATGTTTAATGATGAATCTTTTTTGCTATCACTGCCAAACACTTCACATAATTAATCAGTAAATGAATGATTGTACTTTAGTAAAGGTTTAGCTTTCATTCCATTTGTTTATCCTTCTACAGACACAGCTTTCTACAGGTTTCTTTGGTTCACCATCAAAATACCAGAATAATAATAACAGAACAGGATGCTGTCATGTAACTCTGCATCTGAAAATGGCTTCTCAGGTAAATTAACCACTGAGGCATAACCTCCACTCTGGGGTGTTCAATTTCACATCTTAGTTGTGAGGAGAAGTATGTTTTTTAATTGAAGCCCTTGATCTCCTCTACTTGTTGTACTTTGATTTGCCTTATGAAACAGTTTCAGAGCATGCTAACTAGATTTCTGCAGATGAAACTGAACCAGGAGATGTGCTTTAGCAGCACACCTGCTGACTTTTATTCTGACTATTTATTCTGACTGCTAACAGGCATGTAGTCTCAGAGATCAGACAAGAGCTAATCTGAAATAAGATTTCCCAAAAACATATGGTGGGGCCATCAGTTCCTCAGTTACAAATGTTTACCTTTCTAGATCAATTTCCATTGCACAGAACTATTTGTTGATGTGCACACCCTCAGTGTACAGTGAAAATAGAAGTACCTAAAATCATGGGGACTCACTTGAGGTCTAGCAAACTAAGCATGCAAATCTTCACACTTTCTTCACTCTTTGAGAAACTCTTCTCTCATTTGTGCCACACTAACTTGGATACCCAGAGTTGCTGTTTTTATCTCTCCTGGAGACTTAGTAAAACGTATGGCTCCGATCTCTGACAAGCCCAAATGCATACAGTCTCATAGATAAATATATTCACAAAGCAGATATAAGGATATCTTGATGAATTTGAAGTTGAAAACTGTACTAAAATCAAGCTGGAGCTGGAGCTGGAGTCTGTTCATAGTTGTTCAGAAGTTAATGGTAAAAGTAAATTTATTACTTCATTTATGTTTATACGGAAAGGTAAACAAATATGAATTAGTTTGTGTATTTTGTCTTCAACTGTTCTAGGAATCTATTCAGCTGTATTTATTTGCTATCTAAACAAAATAAGGGTTCCTGAAATCACTTCTGATCACTTCAAAGAACAGACAATGCATTTTCCCCCCTATTCTATAGCTTATTGAAATGCTATAATGATATATTTCTGTAACCCAGTTTTCCAATAATTTCTAATTTGAGAGGAACTTGTATGTTTCAATCTTGTGGAATCATTGAAGTCTAATAGGTTACTGATAAACAATGATTTTATTTTATTTTTTTAGTTGCATACAGCAAAAACAGGTATAGTCAGTCACCTACCAGTTTGCTATCCAGAATGCTGGGCAACTTCCCCAACTTTTTATCTATAGATTTTCCTGTTTCCAGGAAAACAGTTACCACCACGGTGAGTTTGAATTAGCACTTTTCCCCAGAATTCTAGAAAATTGAAATGGATGAATAGATTTTGGCTATTTCAGAAGAAAGTACCAGAACTACTGAGATTTCATAGTTCTCTCATCCTTGGGAGACTTTTTTCTCTCTCCTTATTTTAAAAGGTAAAAAAGAATCTGAGAGCTTATATTGCTCATTGATGTGGGACAAAAGAAACAGGAACGGTAAAAGGGGATATCTCACATAAGCAGCTGACAGGCCATTTTAGCATAAATGGAATGCCATTGTACCTTAAAATTTGCCACAGTGATTTTCTAATACAACTGTATCTCTCTCTCAAGACACACTTGATAATAGTAATTTAGTATTGAATAGTGGCAAAGTATTCTCTTTCTACCTAAGAGAACACTTAGAATCACAAATTTTAACTCAAACTCCCGCCCTACCTCTCAAACTCTCATTCAGTGAAGCTTAATTCTTTCACTATCTTACACAAGCGTGCTCAACATTTTGTAAAATATCCTTTTGCCTAACTCTTGCCTGATTTTTTGATCACCAAGGAAAGGTAGCTTGTGAAAGCTGTGGGTTAGAATGCCTTGCAAGAAAAAAAGTAAAGAGGGTATCTTTGCGTTCCAACTACTCCTTTCAAAGTTAGCATCATTCAGGGTCATCAGCACGACAGACAAATCGTAATTCCGGATACATTTGTATCATTTAGATGCAGCATCATTTTTTGTCCTTGAGTTACGTGTAATGAAGGATTTAAATAGAGAAGTATTAAGTATAGCTACCTTGCTATTTTAAATGTTAACAAGCCTGAAAAAAATCATCTGATACAAAAGATAAGGGTCTAATTTCTCCAGAGACTGCAGGAGAGATATGAACATCTGACCCAGAGGCATACCTTCCATTCTTTCTTCACTAACTTACTGTGAAACTGCCTTTCAAGAAAAACTCAAAATTTTGCTATGAAAGCAATTTGTCACTCCAGTTAGGCAATAAAAAAGAACTTTTTTTCCCCAAAGCAGAGTCTCTGCTTATTCAGAGTATAACTTCCATTACACATGCTTTCCCACTACATGTCAGAGATTACATATTGGGAATTCTGTTTCCTTAATTAATGCTTTATACAGAACTATAAATCATGTCTGTATGTTCTGAATACCACATTGTAAGTTTTGTCTTTTTTGTGTCAAAAAAAAAAAAAGGATTATTTAATTGTGGAACCAAACTGTAGTTTTATTCAAAATATATTCTTTTGTTTTTCCCTTTTTTTTTAATATGTTTGCAATAAAAAAATTTTAGTGTTATATATCAAACAAATGATGAAAGGAAATACTTCAATTTGTCTCTCTGAAGACAAATGTTTAATGAGGTAGTTCAATAAAATATGTCTGTTGAGAATGCAAATCTGTATGCATTCTGTATGCACGATTTTCCATAGTTCGCTGCACTGTTAAAATCTCAAATGGATCAATATTGAATAAAAATTAAAAGAAGTGAAAAGAATGTGAAGTTTTTCCTGCCTAACTAACTGAATTCTTGGTATTGTCTTAGAACACTAATGAATCAACAAAATGTGATTTAGTTTCACAACATGGGAAGTTAAATAGGCACTTCTAATAAAAATCATGTTTATGAACAACATGAATATTGTCTTCCAGATTATCCATAATTATGGCTGCCTCACATTATAATACCCTGGAAAGAAGTTCAGAAAAGTCCACTATATCTGTTAATTTCTGAAGTAGAATTTATTGGGAATACTATTCTTATCACAGAATCACAGAATGGTTATGGTTGGAAGGGACCTCTAGAGATCATCTAATCTCGCCTCTAAATTACCTCAGAATTAAAAGCTTAATATGCAGAGTTTCACTCATTTTGCAGCTGACAACACATATGAAAATCTTTTACTGATTAAAAAAAAATTCTTATTTCCTTTTAATTTACATAAAGATGACTTTCATAAACCTTAAAAGAGGCCACAGATCTGTCAATGAAATGTTTTTTACACTGCAGAAGAAATAATTTCAGATATAAACCTTGGATCCGGAGCCAACTTTTAGGGAAAAGGTTCAATGAAGGCAAGGAATAGGTGTCTTCTTTCAGCTCTTTCAGAATAGTACATAAAGGATAAAGTATGTTCACTTTGTGTCACGGTGAACACTGTGATCTAATATTTGGCAACAGATTTAAGAAAACTTACCTATACTTTCTTGTCAGTGACCTTAAAAAAACAGAAAGGCCATAAAGGTCCTACAGCTTTTACAACTAGATTGAGAAAAGTTAAAATTGTGGGGGAAATACCACCTAATATCTTGAGGAGACAAATAAGAACCTGCTGCTGATGCTAAACAACATAATGGAGATCAGAAATACCACCATTCAGCATAAGGACTGTTGCAGAAACACAGTAACATTGAAAGGTCACGCTGATCGTGTGAAAACCATAAGAAATTTTTAAAGTAGTGAAGCATCCTTAGAAATTCATAAAATAGCAACAAGAAGTTCAGTTATGTATATACTCTGCAGCTAAGTGTCATAAAACATGTTAATTACAGAACAAATAAAAGTGGCACAGGTATCTCCATAATTTGACACAAAGAATGTATCCTGTGGAAACAATAATAGAATTAGTCTTCCTGAAATTGCAGGCAATTTAATTCTTTCAGTATGCAACAAATACAAACAAATCAGTGAGAGAAAAATATAGCGATAATAAATTTGCAATGAAAAATATAATGTATACCTACAACATATGCATACCTGTATGATGCGATATGAAAACTCAGTTTTATTCACAGAAAACAAAAGTTTTGTGAAATAAATATTTAACGACTTGCCTCAGGTACAACCAGTAAAGTATTTTATTTTTAAAACATGTGCATTAATGTCTTATTTTATCACTAAAACGTCATTGTTTTACCATAATCTACTCTGGTTCATAACCCAAAATACCATTCCAGACTATCTATTCAAATTATTCTTTGTGAAACAGCAACTTGTATGATGTAGTTGTATGGTAATACACAGTTCAGATTACTGCAGAATTATGACTAACATTTATGTAAGAATGCTCCATTTTGAGAGGATGAAAAAGAAAAAAAGAAAACTTTTATAAATAGAATAAAAATAAAAAAAATAATATTAGCTAATTTTGATTTTGAGGATCATACTGATCTCCTTTCCACTGTCTTTCCCCCTATGCAGAAAATAAAAGGCTTCCAAAGGGGAAGGAAAGAATCAATTAAAATGGTCTCCATTAAAGATAAAGGAAACTGAAGAAAGAAAAGGATGGAGTTACACATTTTTGGAGACAGTTGATAAAGGAAATTAATTTCTCATTAAGACAGTCTGTGGTGTAATGAGAGATAACTGAGATAAAGTTTAGATGCTACTGAAATGAACTGCAACTCTAACAGTAAAGCTTTGTGCCACAGTGATTTATCAAAGACAGTTGAAGAGGTTTTGTACAGACTCACAATATTTTTACTGGAAGTTCTGTGCACTCACTGTAGTAATTCACACAAAGGTGTTATGACATTATTCATAAAAATACTGCCCTTCTATACTTACATAAATTTTTGTTGGTAATTCTTCTATTAGGGGAAAGTTATAAAATAATTAGAACACTGGAGAAGTATTAAATAAAAAAAATTGATTACTTAATGTAGTACCTCAAAGAATATCTGAACTATATAACCAGGAAAACGAAAGATCAGTACTTTTTAGAACTTCACTTTATAAGAACCTTACTAAACATAAATAAATATATGTCTAAAATAATCTAGGAAACCACCATCTAGGAAACTACTATTCCTTTGTATTTGTTTAGTTCTGTGAATTGCAGAGACTGCTTCTGTATACATAAGAGAATGCCACAAAGTGTGTAGTCGAATGAGGATATATGAATATATTGTGTTTCTAGCATGCAAAGAGCCATTTGCCCAGGAATGTATGTTAAAACATTCAAGATTAAGAGTGACTCTCGTCTTACAATCATCATGTGTGTGTGTACTGTTTGCTCAATATGAATGACACAAGTAACATACAAGGTTGCATTTCATGTTTTCTTATCATCTCTTCTTAATTGTAATATCTTTAACGTACAATCAATGATACGAGGATGTGTTATAACTGACAAAAAGTAGTGGCATTTTCACTTATTAAAACATTGTTGAATAGAAGAGTTTCTTTTCCTTACCCATTTCAGACATCTCTGGTACAGTGACAATGTATGGTCCATCTGTAAATTTTGGTGCATTGTCATTGATATCCTGCACTTTGATAATAAATTCAGATTCAGGCTCAAGTGGCTTGTTTGTCCGTCTATCAATAGCTTGGGCATGAAGCACATAGTGTGTCTTCTGCTCTCGATCTAGGCTTTTGGTTGAATGGATGTCTCCAGTCGTGTCATCAATAATAAATATAGTCCCTGCCCCTTCTCCAGTGAGAATGTATTTGACTGATCCATCACCTTTGTCGGAGTTGGAATGCAACTGTAGAAACACAAAAAATCATATAAAATAATTATTACATTTCATTAAAGATTATTGCACATAAGATATAACAACTATATTACTGTTAGCACCCTTCTACTTAGTTTTCACCCTTTCCATCTCTTTGCCATAATTTCTCATGTGCTCTTTCTGGCAACCCAACAATTTTGTTCAGGGTTACTTCCATCCAGCATAGTTGATTTCTTAAACTGAGATTTCTTGGGTTCTGTGTCCATTCTAGAAAACTTCACTAAATCAAGAATATTCTAGTAACTGGGGTGGTTTTTGTTTTATTTCATTTAGGTTTTAGTCCTTCTAGCAGTTATTTTACAGCACTCACTGCTAGAAACCCTGTCTTAAGCACTGAACTGCATGAAATCACACTGAGGATTGTTTGCTTCAATATAAGGATATCTTCAGTCTCACCACCTACATTTTCTTCTGTGTCTGCAAGGACAACATCATTTACTGTGAAAGGAAACTGCATAGTGTGACAGAGGCAGATGTCTGTCCAGGATTACTCTCTCCTACAGCAAAACACAGGCATTTTCTTTGGATTTTGTTTGTTTATTTTTAATCAGAAAATCAAACAATTTGCTTGTATTTAAATTATTTATAATTAAATAATGAAGTTTGACTGATACTTCCAGCATTTTTATTGTTCATACACACAGTTTGTGCTATGAAATATTCATTAAATATATTATACCCCCTCCTTGAGTAGAATAAAGCTTTTATTTATTTGGGAGAAGAGGGAGGAAAAGCCACTAAGTACACTGGTTATAACATGAGATAGCATGAAACAGCTTCCCATTAAGTCTCATTGCTTCTAACCTGACTTTAAAGAATTGGTTGTTTAGATTAAAAAAGAACATGTGTTGTCTGAAAAGGAAGGATGATTTTTATATAAACTGAGAAGTTTTGTGGGTTTGTTTTTTTTCTTTGAAATGACCTTGAGAACAGAATGTATTTATTCAGAAGCACAATTAAAAGAAAGTGAAAATGTGGAAATGAATAGCCTTGGGTACTGTGCAGTTATACTGTGTTGTAAAATCAGAAGGGAAACTTTCTATTTAAGAAGACACTCATTCTTATTCTACTGCCTTGACTATTTCTCAGTATATGCAATGTGGCATTACCAAGTTTTTATACAGAATCTGAGCAAAACAGAAGCAGAATGAAAGATATTATTTTTAATTAATGGATTGCAAGGTGTCAGTTTCCAGACTCATTTTCCTTCTCAGTTCAAAAACTACTCAGGATTGGATAGAGAGGAAATAAGACTTGTAGGGTAGAAAACATCTTTTTTCTTACTTAAAACATAAGTTACAGAGATGCTGCTATTTTCTCACATGCTACTCGTACCTTTTTTGCAGGTCTCTGTCTTGCCTTTAAAACTATCTACCTTGCTATTTGTAAAAGCAGTTAGCATATGGCACTTGACGGAATTTTTCATCTTGTGTATTAAATCCATGAAATTATGGTGTTGCACAGAATTTATATCTTCCTGTAGGGGGCCTTGGAGAGGTGAAATCTAATAAATTTAAGATTTTCAGCTCATATAAATCAGTCAATGCACTATATGCAAGCCACAAGAAGATCTAACAGAATAACCAAAACACGACTGAGTCACCACAGTGGACCCTTTATTCTTTCTTTGTTGTTGTTGTTGGTTTTGGTTTTATTTTGAAAACGGAAGAAAAAAAGAAGCAGAAAAAGAGTCTGACTTTGGCTTTACCTTTATACAACAGCAGAACAGTCTTACACATTTCGTTTACAGTAGTCATTGGCAAAATTAATAATTTCTTATCCTTAGAATAACACTGTATTCTATTAACAAAGGAATAATTCACTCAGTGCAAAATGCCAGGAATCGAAACTTCCTATGATAAAGTAAAAATGTTCTTTGAAGTGATTTATTCCTAAAAACAAAGAGTAGCAGGTATTCTTGTAGTCTAGCCTAGGTTTGCTGGTATTCCGATTTTTCAGAAACCATCGGAGTTGTTTCCTCTTGCTGTAGGCTCCTTTTGTGATAAAATGAACTCTAAGTGCTAGTGTTTGCAAATGATAACAGGAAAATGACAAATTTGTTGAGTTTATGAAGATATAAGGAACTCAAAACTATTCCAAATTGAAAAAGAACAGAAGAATCTCTATCCTACTTCTCTCCTTTTGCCTCCACAAATGTATGTTAAAATATATTAAGATATATCAGATAGAGATCCAAGCAAAAATCACTGCATCAATAACTGGAATTACAAAAGTATGAAACAGTTAAAAATTGGTTACATTGCTAGGTAAGAAATACATAGAATAAAGAACTGCTGTAGAACTTAAGAAGTAAGGTTCTTCAAAACCCCAAATATGAACATACAAATGGCATTCCAATACCATACTGCAGAAAGGTGTGTTCACAAATTCACTGTGATGGCATGAAATGGATGGACCATTCTGAAAAATTAATAACATTAGATATTTTTTGTTGTAAAGAAACAATTGCTTCTACTCGTCATCAGTGAAGAAAATCCAGGTATATTTTAGTCAGATGGCTTTTACATCTAACAAGAAAATTTAAGAAACACGAGAGATACTCAGCTGATTTCACAGCCAACAAATTATATATTAATCCTGCTAAACATTGTGTTACCCAACAAACTTCAACTGAAAAATGCGAGTAGTGATATCATTAGAAGAATGTTATCTGGGTATTAATAATCACTGAAAGCCTTCAATTTGCAACTAGATCTTTTAAAGTTTAGTTGTATGGCAACAAGTGAAAACAAGTAAAAGCTACAAGAAATTCCTGCTTCCTTACTTCCTGATATTTCTTATATTACTTGAAATATAGCACTTTGATTTAGGCCTTTTAATTTCTAATGTTAAATTTTAAATTCACATGGGAGGATTTTGCATAGCAAAAGACCTTTTCTTTTGTCAGTTGGTTTATATTTCAGTTTTTCTGCAAAATAAAGATTAAAGAACTGTTTGTCTTCTTTAATTCTTCCATCTCAGTACAAACCGGTCCAAGTAGAAAAATATCTAGGTTTCTCTCAAATGTTTATTTGCAACATGTGTTGTGCTGAAAAGAGCCCCTGAGAATCCCTGCTTAAGACAATGCCTACCACATTAACGAGAGATTCATGTGCTGAGCATGATGCCCTTCTCTCTTCTCCATTCCTACTAGGAAATCATCTCCAAAACATGTGGTTTATTCCACAAAAGCATTTCCAATTAGAATAAATGCGATTCATCACCTAGGTTACAACTACAGGGCTTGGGAGAGTGTATTTCTGCAGCTATGTCTATAATAATTTATAAAAGATATCAAGGGAGCAAAATCTAGCTGGACAATAGTGGACTTTCTCTTTTCTTGGGACCTGCTATAGGTATTTCTCTTTCAGATTAATTTGACAGAGAGGAGGATGCCACTAAGCAATGTAGATGCAAGCCAACCCATGTTTTGCTCACCAGTTCAGATCCAACTTGTGTGACCTGGGGAAGTCATCTCAAACCAGATCCCTAGGAAGTGTGCGGCCATTTCATTTCAATGAGATGCCGCAACCTCTGCCATGACTACTGCAAGAACATGCTTACGCTAGAGGGTGAGACACTCACGTGCTGTAGCAATGTGAATTAATAGCTTAAACACAAAATTTGGTGCTACTTTTTCCTCTGCTCTGTTGGTCAGAGACAGAAAGATGCAACGCTGCGCCAGTCTCTTAATTTAAAAAGAAATACAAAGGCATTGCAAACTGAAACATGATTACCATAACATGAGATAAGAAATAAGCATTGAAAAGAGATACAATGCCAAACATTAGAACACAGCTTTCTGATATCTGTGTGAGGGGTTTTAACTATGATTATGAAAATATTACTGAAAATGTTTTTTAATAGATCTTAGTTTCTATGATAGTCTGATGATTATATATTGATCTGTGATATTAATTGTTTAACTATGATTAAAAGAACCTTTTTTTCTCTTCTTTAATTGTTCCAACTTGCTTCCCTAAGCAGTCTCACATTAGACCCCAAACACTATTTTAAAAATTCCTTTGCAGACCAATATTTTGCCTAGTTATCCACTAGATACTAGTGCAACTTGCACTTACCACTTAGCCCTCTCTAGCCTGACAAGGTTTCCCCCACCCTACCCACGGCTCAGGACCTCCTTGAAGCACCCAAGGGGCACCAGTCTCTACCCCAGCAATGCTGCAGCAGAGTTGGTCTCCAGCTCCCCACAGCCCTGCCCTTCCCAGCATCAGCTTGGCTCCATCTCCAGGGAAGTGCCTGGGGCAGGGACTGCCCTGATACTCCTGATTCCCTGCTCCTGGTTGGTTTGATCATGACCAACCTGGGGGAATCTTCAGTGTCCCAGTCCCAGGGAGCTTCCTCATTCTGCTGATCCCCAACAGCAACATTTCCAATCCCCCAAACTGCAGTCAATGCAGGCTTCTGAATTCCTTTTAGAAATGTGGTTTCTATCCTAAGTGATGGGCTGGCTTCTGCAAATATTGCTGTTGATTTGGTTATGCTTCTACAAGGATAAATCTATTAAATATTCTAATTCTGTCCAGAACCAGAAGCTTCCAGAAAGTATTTAATTTTCATCCTCTGCTGGTCATCCTCTCCTCTCCTTATTTCTCTGAATTTTTTAGGGGAAGAAGAAACTGAAAATAATAGTCAATGGGCACATCTGGAATGTCACCTTTATCAACCCAGAGGGCTTTACTTGACATACTTAATAGCAAGCTGCATTAAGGATAATTTATGATGGTTCCTCAATCTTTAGCTAGCCAATATCATCACTGTATGACTGATTTTGCAGAATAGCAACCAAGGTGTCCTTGTTTTGCTAAGACTTCAAATTTTATTTTCATCAGTCCATTTAAATGCTTAATTTTCTTTTAGTATTTCTGCAGAAACTGTAGGAGGGTTACATTAACCAAAGGTATGATTTGAAGAGTTATATCAAATTTTCTGTATAGTCATATATTAAT